GAATACTATCGGAATTTAGCTAGACCTAGAATAATTAACCCTGCAAAGTTAGATAACCTAGAAAAAAGCTCAGCCACTGCGCTGTATTCACTTGCTGGCCGTTGAATCGGGTCCCATTGGCCGAATAGCATACGAGCTTGCATTGTAACCAGAAGGTCCTGGGTTTTATTTATTGATTGATTGATTACAGCTTGATTCCACACTGTATTTTTCGTACAAGTATGGAATTTTCAGCATGGATATCGGTAGCCCGAATTTTGCAGACCAACCATAGATATCAGGTGTCCGTCGGCAGGGGATCGAACCTCGGACCATGTGCATGGTCAGCGAGAGTCCTTACCACTGTGCCACCAACGCTGAACCCTGGTGGTGGGCGCCTACTGTCAGCTGTCTAGTTTCGAATGGTTCTCTAACTGACATCAATCCATGGTCTAACCTGAAACGAATAGGTTCCCTACAAACTAATTCTTGATAAATTAAAAAAAGACTGATTAATGTAAAAACAATATTCTTCTCGATAACTTCTTCATTTAGCTGTACAATTATATATCTAGAATGCTAAGGCAATTATTGTTATTAAAAACACTCATGTTTTTTTTTAAAATAGCATCGAATCACAGACATCAAAACTTCAAGGGGTGTATGGGAAGAGATTATTGATTGATCATATGCAGAAATGTAACACTAAACTAAACACGAATTCTCCAAAGTAAACGATCATAATCATGAAAATAATATTCTTTGTCTTATAATCAGCATTTTGAAATTTCTAATAGGCATCTTTGACCGATTGAAGTAAATTATGTTAAAACTGTAATAAAACTATTAGCTACCATTACTGAAGATGTAAGTAGTTGACAAGATTTTGATCAAATATATCTCCTGTTTTTATCTGCACTATGTATTGTTATTCAAATCGATTGAGATTCATAAGTTCCAAGTTTTATTATGACTTGACAGCAGTTAGAGAACCATTGGAAAATCTGGGAGTACTGAACAGTTGTTTTGTTCTAGTTTGGGGCTCTTCATCAGTTAGAATTCATGGGCCATTGGGTCGGGTCCTAGTGGCTTAATATTCTACGAGCTAGCTCACCTCGTAATCAGAAGGACCTGGGTTCAAGCTTCGGTGAGTGCGTACTGATGGAGAGTCCCAAACTAGGACGGAAGAAATAGCTGTCCAGTACTCCCTGGTTTTCCAGTGGTTCTATAACCGATGTCAACTCATGCAGAAATCCAACAAACCAATAATTGAAGATGATAAAATTATCTGATAAAGAATATGTATTATAAAGTGTATAATAATAACATGTTGAAACCACTTTCATTGTTTTAATGAATAAGTTCAGAGAAACAATATTGGAACTGGAACTTGTAAAATCATGACAGTTAGATTAAATTAGGGTGCGTCAGTGGCACAGTGGTTAGGACGCTCGCCGACCTTGCACATGGTCCGGGGTTCGATCCCTGGCCGACAACTCCCTCCTTTACCTCGCTAAGCCAGAAATAATGCTGATGATCAGTAAAGGTTGGGCATGAGGCTAGCAATCCCATCCTGTAGAATAAACACTGCTACAGAAACTTCAAGCCACTAGCTTGAAGCCCTATTTTCCACTGGGAACGTGAAGGAAAAAAAATAGATTAAATTAGGATCTACAGTAAATAAATAACAGTCATACCGTTTGACACGAATGTCCTTTATAATGCATCACTGCGAAAAAAACAGCAACCTACAAATGCAAAAGTACGAGCAAATACTAATCAAAATATCTTGTTAACCAGATCACAAGTTGTGATCTCACTACAGGACAGATGATTTACATGTCTGAGAGAGAGTTTCATCAGATATTTACATGACTAATTTTATTTGAATGAAATCAGATTATACGCGTATCTAATTGATAAGGGAAGATAATACGAAATACTACGACAATCAAGTCACAACTATGATATATTTTTCGACTGAGATAGTCTAGTTACTGATTTTTAATTAAAAACAGACCATACTGTGAAAACTATCTGATAATTCCTCAGACACCAAGTCGAAAAGCTTCGAATGATAAAACTTAGTATACGGTAAACACAACTGCTATCACTGTCTTATTCCCTATAAAATTCGTCTTAACTGTTTCCACATTAAGGCCATCAAAACGACCACAATAGTTAGATTGCGTGATTCTAAATAAACAGTCGGTGTATACCATTTCATCGTTGACAACAACAAGGAGAAAAAGTGAGTCTAGCTGTCTTATTTTTTTTAAAAACGACCAAAGGAATAATTCATATTCAGTAGCATCCACTAATGAAATTCTACCAAAGATTTGTTCAAATTAGATTTCATCTCATACCGAAGTCAATTAGAGAACCACTGAAGAGTACCGGGAATTAGTGGACAAGTATTTCCCCTTATTTTGCTTTTATTTAGCTGAATACATTCATTATTATACTCGCCAATCAAACCATGGACATTCAAGTTACAAGATAACCATGTCCTTTTTCAGAAACCTAAATGAACCCATTAGGCCATATATATGAGAAGGCGTTCATCAAAAAGTTACTCTCTTCAGCAACATCATTCACAAGCTGTAAAACCGAACATATACATATAGTAAATTGTCTTAGCAAAAAATGGAATATTTCCAAGAAGGGTGTGTCATTAGAATTGTAAATTTTAGATAACAAATTTCTTTAATGAGTTAGAAACTAAAATAAGATTAAATAAGCAAACTGAGTGACGTAACCCAATTGACAGGGTTGAGTAGAGCTCAACTAAAATTAAAACTGGACAAAAGTCATGTTAACAAGAGAGGTGGGGGAAGAAAATAATACAAATAAGAAACAAACAAACAAAAAAGACGAAACAAAAGTTACGTCTTTGGTGTTAAGATAGGTCAGGTCCACTGTAGATTTAATGACTAAACAAATTTCTTTTGTATGCAGAATTCAAGATTTAGCATATGAATTGCCATTGCTTCTGTGTTTTGAAGAAATTTGATTCATACTCTTTAAACAAGATTCCCACGTACTCTGTAGATAACTTTGGGGTTGTTTTGTGGGTTTTCTTGATGTCTTTATTTGGTCAGGTGTTCTAGTACAGAGCTTCGGGTGGATCTTTTTTCTCCTTCATAAAACCATGAGGATAAGTGTCCGATGACATGTTTGGATAGCCAACACACGAACAGGTGAATCGGTAGATCCAAGCTGATCATCATATACCTTAATACTCTCTTCGTATCGGCAACCACAGGAACAACACATTGATGTTTTATTGTTTTCCAAATATCTTCACGATGTTTTTCCAATCTAAGCCTACTTCAAACAATATTGCTTTTACATGTAAGCGTTGGGCTTGCACGTGTGACAGATATCTCCGTCACTTAAATTGGTAAATATTCATAGACTGGTTCTTTTCCTATGCTCAACTGTAACCTAAATTTTCCAAGCACGAAAGTCGCGCTTGAAAAATGCATGCGGTAAAAAATTCAGGACATTTTTGCATTTTCCATGTTAACAACAATCATGGTAAAGCATTGAATTACTTGCTATATTTATTATTACAGACTATTCCAGTAGACTTATCTAAGGTTCAATAAATGGAGAACACATGCCAAAAAATAATTACAATTTTTGTTAAACGCCATCAAACTGTGAACTCTACGCCGATCAAGTCTTTTATAGATAACAATTCAGTTCTTAAGCAATCGAAATTTAGGATAGTTACATTCATGTAAGTGACAGAAATTAGCACGCCTGATGCAGATTCAAATGATAAGTATCTTCATTTGTATTGAATGATGTTAATCAAAGAAATTTAGAATTTTATATTTCTAAGGAGCAATTTATGCGTTACTTGCTCGATGCTAGGGTGCTGATCAGTCATGTGGAAACCTTGGTTCGACTCCCGATCAGCTTACCCCTTAATTCCCCTCCAGTAAGTCAGTGGCGAACCTGAAAGTGAGACAAGGCTGGGCAAGAGGCTAGTGACTCCTAGTCATAGAACTTTTAGTTCAGTTGGACAGAATACTGCTTTCAGGTGAAGAAAGAAAATTACCGGTATTAGTTATGTCAAGAAGTGCGTCGGTGGTATAGCGGTTAGGACGCTCGCCGACCATGCATATGGTCCGGGGTTCGATCCCCGGCCGGCTCACTCCTTTACCTCACTGAGCCAGAAATAATGCTGGTAAAGAGGAACGGTTGGGCATGAGGTTAGCAACCCCATCCTATAAAAATTAAACACTGCTACAGAAACTTCAAGCTATTAGCTTAGAGCCCTATGTTCCACTGGGAACGTGAAGGAAAAATTATTATTATTAGTTATGTCAAGAAAAGCGTTCCCAACAGGCTACTGAAGACTTTCATAAACAGCCGCCTTCTCCCCATGCTGAAGACCATGTGACAAGAAAGAACTGGTAACAAATCAAACAAGAACCTATCCCTCATCAAATATGCAGGAGCAAACGAAGATGCATTGGACATGCACTAAGACATGGCGTGGTGCGCCATGTATCGGAACCCAAACAAAAGACAATGATTTGGGAGTCCGAGGGTGACATGGGGGAGATTTTGTGAGGAGATGAGAGACTATGGGCAATTGTATGGCCAACTGAAGATGACTGCAGAAAACAGAACAAAGTGGAGATATGCTGTTGAAGACCAATATTCCACTCAAAACTCAAGGGAATGATAATAATTAGTTATGTCTATGTTTTAGAATAAATATCTCGTTGCTTTAAACTTGTCTAAGTTTCCTTGTTTGGTTCTGTTATTTCAGAGTAACACTCCCATTTAGAATAATTAATACTCAATTATAAAGATAAAAAGGTCAGGATTTTAAAAAATCCTTACTTTCAATATTAGCTGACACTATCGTTATGTGTTCTCACACCCCCCCCCGAAACCCAAGAGAATAATAGTATAAATAATGATAATAATTCGATTGTTCACAATCAACAACAAAAATAACTGATGATTTAGGTAATAAACACGTTTCCTTCTGGACTTACCTACGTATCAGCAGGTAAGGAAACCAATGGACAGGTTTATGACTGTAATAATCTAAGACTTCTAGACGATCTGTTGTTAGACGCAGATAACAGTCTGGTTGACACAAGTGTAATTTTACCCAATCGCCAGCTTCTTCAAGAACTGCAGGAATTTTATCCTCTGTAATAAAGAGATGTAACAATTTAACAAAAATAAACAGTATAATAACGAAACAGGATTAAAGTAAGTATAGCTATTTTCAGTAGGTCATGCGAGGAAGATATGAAAGCATGTGGACAGACCTGGAGCAGGGTGAAAAAGTTGTCAGAAAACCGAAGGCAATGGAGGTGCTCAGCTGAAGCCCTATGTTCCTCTAGGAACTAAAGGATACAATAATATATAATAATAATAATAGCTATTTTCAATAACAACAGATTTTTAACATTTTAGTGATTGTAAGGATAATGATTAAACTGCTTTACAGTATTTACATTTACGGTCAGTGATGTCGAAAATTTGGAACATTTGTCTGTCTTCTTCAAAAGGAAGTCTTTTATATCCGATAACCTTTCAAGGAAACAGAGTTATAACTTCTGTTGAAAGTAGATGTTAATACTACTGGACGAATGGAAATTAGTGATTGTTTACTGTAACCACACACCCCTATCCGCAGGAAAAGAAGGACAGAAAAAGTTGTAAATACACTGAATGTGTCCTTCATAAAATAGAGTGCATAAACTTAAGTGAGTTAGGAAATAATGCTGCATATGCTAACCAGTTTATGATGTAGGATATCGAAGTCGGCAAACTTCTGAAAATGACTTCACAATACAAAATAGTTGAGTGTTTATCAAGGATCTTGAAATACAAATAATAACTTTCAGTTACAGCTTGACAATTATTAGATATGTGAATTACATCCATTCAAATGTTAACAAATGTCTTAAGAACAAAATATACAATTCGGTATCGTCTTTCGACATTTGTAAATTTCAAAGATTCAAAGGTGGACTCCCCATTACATTAAGGATTTTATGAAGACAAGAATTATGAAACATTGAATTCTAGCGTGGTAGGTGAACATTTGATTGATAGTGGCTGATAGTGAAATCCACAAACGAGTTTCGTCATATTTAGGACTCTTCATCAGCACGTACCTACATCCCAGTAAGTGATAATAATCCCAATGAGAGCCTAACAAGCACTCAACATTTCAAAAGCTAAAGTGTGCCTAAGTGATAAGTGAGCGCATGCCTAAAACTCTGAATATCATCAGCTAAACTCTTTATGGCGTTCTGAATACCCAGGGATTTGTACTTCTGTCAGTACAAATAAATAATTTGATCTAAAGATCATCATTTTTTGTCTGTTATTCAACATGTGATTTTTAATGTTAACAATTAGAGAATTAGAAGAAATTATACTCTAAAAAGTGAAAATAGTTTAACCCAATGATCTAAGGATGATTGACAGGTTAATTAATCTGTTAAGCCTATTAAATAATACTAGTGAAAAGAGGACGCATGTGCTAATTACCAGTGAATTTTCAAAAAACTCATTTTAAACACCTGTTTCCTACTACGTTTATGTAACAATCTTTTTCCATTCAGCTAAAATGTAAAGAGATAATCAAAAGATTGATTTCCCAGATAATCAATTTAATTTAGATAAGTGACATTTAGGATTACTGGCTCCCACCCGAACGACCTGGAAGCGCTTTGTGGGTCAGTGGTACACGCATGTGGTTTGGGGCTCGAATCCCGGCCAACGATCTCCTAAAGCTTTCTGTGTCGGTAATAAGATCGATAAGGAGGGAAGGTTTGGCGTGAGGCTGGCAACCCCACCTCGTAAAAATAAACAACACTGCTACTAAAACTTCAAAGCTCTAGCTTGAAGCCCTATGTTCCCCTAGGAACCTAAAGAGATAAAATTCAAAAAATAAAGAATTACTGAAGTGTAATAACACATTGTTGATAAAAAGCAACTTAAATACGATTTGATCTGAAATGAACCAAATTTTTCACATAGAACTTTGCATTAAATTTCAGTATTTCAAATCACGACACTCCATAAAAGAGGATATAGAAGTAAGACAAGGTGGTAAAAATAAATGCAGATAAACCATAATAAACGAACAATTAGAGACTTCATGAATGGATGCCTTGATTTGGATTGATTGATTCATCATTCCCTTGGGTTTCGAGGTGAAAAAAGGGATTCATCAGTACATTTGTATTCCATCTTGTCCTTCGCAACCTTCTTTAGCTATCTCCACTATTTTCTCCACATCACTTTCGGAAGCTGTTATCCATTCTGGTTTCATTCGACAGCCTGGTGCGGGATGTCACCTAACGTTCTTCTCATTGTGCGTCTAATCCATTTCCATTTCCTTCTGCATATTCGCTGGACAATAGATTCCTGATTAGTTTCTTCCCAGAATTCCCTACTGCTTATTCCTTCTAGCTATCTGATCCTCAGTACTGAACGAGGGCAGATGTTTATGAAAGTCTGCAGTAGCCTGTTAGAAATGTTTTTGCCAACAAACTTTCCAAGTCTCAAGACCATATGAAAGCACTGCCTTCATGTTAATGTTGAAAATCCGATTCCTGTTCTTGATGTTGAGTAGAGTAGATTTCCATACCGACTTCTGGTTATCGAAGGTTTACCTTACCTTTCCGATCTTGGTTTTGAAGTCCCCATTTGTGATTCCTGCGTACAGTTGAAAGAGTTCTGCATAGATAGGTGAAAGAGGTGACCCCTAAATTTATCCCATTACCAGTGACTGGTGCTTATTGTTTTTGGTCGGTTATCTTTATCACCTCTATCTTCTGCATATTCACTTGAATTCCTGTCTTCGCTGTTGCTGCTGCCAACTTTTCAGGCCAACCTAAAGTCGGCTAACTTAAGGGAGGTAATGGCTTGGCGTGCCTAACACCTGCCCTAGCTATTTAAACCGATGCGGATTTACAAAAAAGGTATTCCGAATACCATGAATACACTGTTTGTGAAAAACAACCGCTAATACACAAAAATTCAATCTGATTTAAACGCCAAAAAATAAAAGTCTCTGTAAAGAGTGTGTGAAATTAACCAGTTTATTGGTTATAAAAGCCTAAAAAACCAGTGCTTTCAAACAAGAAACAATCAGCCTAACCAGAAACAAAATACATTACTCTTTGGAAATGAACCTTATCGTTCAGATGAACATGTGAAGTCAGGCAGTCAGTCGCCAGTATCACATTCTTAATGGTAAATCGAGCAGACAAGGAAAAAGCGAATATCATATTTACATATCATGGTTTCTTCAAGAATTTTAATCACGCATTATGTTGTACTGTTTTAGTTAAATTATGTTTGTCAGTATCGAGAAACATTCTCGAAGGTTAAACATGACTGATAGTTATTATCGCCACGTGAAAACTACTGATACGATACTCAACGGGATTCAATATGCACACTGTAAGTTGCTTCAAAGCAGTCTGCGTAGAAAAGTTAATATTACCAGCTTTTGGAATATGGGATTCATCACTGTCTTATCGTGGTATTATTACATTTTATCAACTAACATGTCATACAGATAAGTGTAAATGATTTTTAAAGATTTGAAGAGTGAAAATGCGTGTTGTATTACAAATGAATTATTCCTTATATGGATAATTTATAAATCAATATTGTCAAAAGATAGACAAATATTTTGAGGTCACCATTAGTATGTACCAGATGATTTAATTGCATACACTGTAATTTTATAGGCATTTACGCAGGAAAATGCTAACAAAGTAAATGCACACATGGGTATCTTCAATATACTTGACGTTCCATAAAACTCCCTTCACACGCACACGTAACTTAAAGAATTTAAATAAAAACATGCATATTTTAAAGGATGTATAAATTACACCCACAGGTTCCATGTCTTTGAGAAATATTAAAAAAATAAAATAATGAGTCTCATGAACTTAATTCAGTCAAAACAGAAGAATGTGCACATGAAAAACCGAATGATATTCAGCACTGTTCGGTGATAGCTTAAATCTGCTTATTACATATAACCATATGAAAGCTAGTGTGCTCAAGAAATGCGCTAGAAATAAAATACTAAAAAACGGTGAAAAGTGTAAACGTCGTTGTAAAGTAGTAAAACATTTTTATTTTTCAGTTGAAAATACTACAGAAGTAGTCATGTGTTTGACACCACTTGGTTTTGAAAGCAAGCGTTAGGTTACATTTGTCTAGTGGCAGTTTCTTCAGCAAACCAAAATGCACTTAGTTCACCAGTCATTAGACGAGTATTTAGCACCTACCTGTGCTAACAGAATGTCTTGTGTTCAATACATAGCAAGAGGTTTTACTGTTGAAGGAACTTAAATTCCATTCTTACGCGAAATACAAATCATGCTCTTTAATATGGCAGTTCAACTCCAACGTTAGTACCTTGTTTAGCCCAGTTTTCACTAGTGTATAGCTTGTTAATATACTACTTTTGGATAATAGCACAATTGCTTATTGGCACGTCGAAATACATAAGTAGCGTCAAATATTTTATAAAACTCTTGTCGTCATTTTACAAATGTGCTCCTGGTCTTACTCGATTACGCGTATAAGAAACTGACTGTTTTATCCTCTAATATGTACGATGGTTTTCTTGGATCAAAACTATCTAGACATATTTTAACATCGGTCGCTTGGGCTGAATTTAACCAAGAACAATTCAATAAATTGGAAATAAGACTTGCTTTATTCAAAACATGGAGGATTTAATCATGAGCTGACATCAGTTAGAGAACCACTGAAAATTATTCAAAACAATCCCCTTTTAAAACTGTTCAAGCATACTGTCCAAATCAAACACACGAAGCAAGGTATTCTGACATCCAATTGTATTAAAATAAGTTCCGTAAAGTTAGAGGAATGGCTTAATCGGACTAGGTACTATCATAATTCCTTTTACTGTTAATTTACTTTTATTTCATGCATTTATTCCCTTTAATGAATTTGAACAAAGCAAGAACTACAAATTTAGCAGAATAAAATGGTACCATCTTTTATTTCGTTGCCTTCTCGTCAGCTGCTTACATGGCAAAGACATTATTAAATATATCTACAACGATAATTTACTGCTAATTCGAAGATTCAACCAGTATCTTCATAAATAAACCATTTCGATCAGAAGCCGCAGAACTTCTGTTAACTCATTTACTTAGTGGCTTGCTGCGTTTTTAGTGGTTTGATGGGCTAATAAAAATTGATAACATTCACAAATAATGCAGAAAATTTATGAGTTATTAAGTAAAAACATCTAAGCTTAGTTACCATTTATTTGTTATGTATGTCTGTAGCACTGTGTAACCTGCTGGAGAATATATAATGGTTTAATGCAACCTTGAACAGTTTAGAGTAACCTAGAGTTTAAACTGGGTTTCCCTATTTAAATGTTATAGTATTCACATAAAATTGACAGTGGATGGTGTTAAAAATAAATAGTTCCTTAAGAACTTACCGGATGAGTATGCTTCATAAACCTCGTTGTCCATCAGAGCGTCATCAAACTCGCTTTCACAAGCCTGGGAATTTGGTTTGAGTGACATAAAGCTTCCGGATTTGCTCAAGGTTCCCATATTACATGCCAAGTCTCTTTGAGCCGATGAGCCATTCCTAGACTTTTTACCGATACATGCTTTACAAATGGCCAGCCATGTGGTGATCTCGTTTTCATCCTCAGTAGCAATGAGAAGCTTTTTGTTCCCAAAAACTCCTGAGGGAACAAGCTTCAAAGCGAAAGAGGCGCTTGAATTGACTGTCTCCGTTCTCATTGAGCATGACTTGTATTCACTAAGGTTACAGAGAGCAGTGAATGGTCTTGTGGCAAAATTTTCCACACGATATGGACTCTTCTCAGGGATCTTTCCGTCATCACTTTCGGAGTAGTTGTTAGTCCCATTTAATAATATAGAAGATGGTAATGACTTGATGCACAAGAATGTGTCAGTATCATCCGTCAACAACCTTACGTCACAAAGAACCCATTCATCCTTTCATGAAATTAGTAAACCTTTGTAAACTCGTCTTACCTTAGCTGCTCTTATATAATTAGACTTCACGAAAAACCTCCCCGACAAATTCATAACAATTCAGTAGTGGTGTCTAGGCCACAGAGGTGTGTATCAATGATGTAGTGTATTTAAACAACACAAGCATGAACATGGGAGACGGGTGGTAGCTACTATTTATAGTGACTTCCGAATTATATAAATTGAGACTGCATTTTAATATGAAATTGAGAATATGTTAAAACAGTATTATTTTGTTTATACTCTCTGTGGTGTAAATCATAACTGGTGATCTCAGAAAGGGACACTAACCTCCTGAGAACGATCTAAAGTGAGTCAAGGGTCTCCAAAAATAACTAAACGATGCAGTACTAAGGATAATAGGCACTTCTATGCGTGACTAAAGTCGGTTTTGAAGTGACCTAATTGCTGTCTACTTGATCCCACATGACTACAATCACTCAAACATAGTTAACACTGTGTTTTTCGTGACAATCCAAGGAGGACCAGAATCATCTACTCTTGGGACTCTCTAACAGTAGCTGTGTCCACTGCGCCTTTGTTGGATAGTTTTAAGCGGATTCTTGATAATTATTCAGCATCACATCAACTTTTTTCAAGTGGACTATCCCATCGGAACTCACGTCGCACATTTTAATAATGCGTTTAATCGAAACTACTCCATCACTAGTGCCTATTTCTCCCTAGCTCACTCTTCTAATTACCGTAGCTATTCACTTTCCCATTTTTTATACACTAGATTTCATTGTTTATCTACTTGTTGGCATGATTTTCTTTTTAATTCTCTAAAATCTACGGCTTATTACACACATTAAATCAAAGACATTATGTGGTATCACTGAGGAAACTTGTGTGGAAGAACTTTAAAACTAACTCCCTGAAGGTTATGTTCAAGGAAATGTGTACAACGTTTCTAGAAAGAAGGAAAAGAGAAGACAAGGAATGGCTCTCAACGGACATCTACCTGAAAGCTAATGGAAGAGATGGGATGGGGATAGTGAGACAGAAGTTGGCTCAACGCAATGATGGACAACAGAAGGAGAATCCAAATTCACTGTGCACTTCGATGAATAAAGAAGTAAAGGAGAGTGCTAGGAGAGACAGAATACAATTCTACAACACACTGGCCGGCAACTGGAGCAGTGTCCACATTTGGTTCTAACGATCTGCTGGACGTCATCGATTGTTGCTTCTATGTGGATGATTGTTTAGCTTCCTTCGATGATGATAAGTCTGCAGTTAAATTTGCAACAAGGCTAAGGCCGGCTTTCGTTTATCTAAGTGGGTCTTGAACAGCCTATACGTTTTGAGGCATATAGTTCCAGAAGACAGAGCACCTACTGTACGAGATTTACCTGTTGACAGTTTACCAGTTGAACGCACATTAGGTATGCGACGGGATGTGAACTCTGATACCTTTGGATTTAGTGTTGGTGATATTGATAAGCCAGTTACTCGGAGAAGTGTGCTCTCTGTGTTGTCGTCCGTGTTTGACCCACTTGGATAAGTAGCACCTTAACTACTTCCGGCGAGGAGATTATTTCAAGAGACATGCAGGAAAGGGTTACACTGGGATGAACCATTAAGTGAAAGACAGTAAAGAGTGGAAAAGGTGGGTTAACAGTTTAAAAACGCTGGATCTAGATACCGTCTCACGTCCACTTAAGCCATTGAGAAATCATGATATGATTGACTTCCATGTTTTTTCTCATGCCTCTGAGGTTGGATTTGGAGCAGCCGTCTACATCAGAACCACCTTATGGGACGATATAGATGTTCGCCTAGTGATGGGTAAATCTAGAGTTGCAACTCTAAAGACGATTTCGATTCCGAGATTAGAACTTACTGCAGCCTTGCTAGCGGCACAGTTATTCACAACGGTGTGTAAAGAGTTGGATTATCCCAAGTATCCTGTGACGTTTTGGACTGATTCGAAGTATGTGATATATTATATACCCAAAGAGTCAGCAAGATATGCATGTTTTGTAGCTAACAGAGTATCTCAAATTCGTGAACTAACAACCGTCGAGCGGTGGAGGTACGTACCGTCTGGAAAAAATCCAGCTGATCCAGCCTCACGAGGAGTTATTGATATGAATGTGGTTAAAAATAAGTGGTGGAAAGGTCCAGAGTTCTTTCTGCGGGCTGATAGTATATAGCCTAGTAAAGAAGATGAACCACCGATAAGCAAGAGTGTCTTGGAGTTTAAGACAAGTGTCAGTTTAACACCTACTCAAGAAAGACATTCGGGTTTTCATCCACTTTTTAGATATTATTCTTCTAGGTACAAACTACTGAAGGCTGTTGCGTGGTTGACACGATATTTTACACATTTAAAGGTCATGCATCTTGCACGATACGATGATATGAACGTGGGACGTTTGAGAGTCTAAGGTATCAGAAATGCAGAGTTAGCGATTTTGAGGGCTTCTCAGTGGGAAGCGTGAGGTGAGATTGCCAAGGAGGATAGTCATGACTTCGCAGACTTCAACTTGCGGTTAGACAGATTATCTCCGATAGTTCCCTAAGGGATCGCTAGAGTTGGTGGACGTCTACAAATGTTAGAATCGTCATGTGAGACCCGTCATCCGGCTTTATTACCTTGCTATCATCCGGTCACTCATCTCAATATAAAAACACTACCATGTTCTTGGAGGTCATTTGGGTTCTTCACAAGTACTTTCAAGTATTCGATGTAAGTTTTGGATAGTGAAGCGAGGTACTGTTGTCCGCAAAATAATCGAAAAGTGCTTGGAAAGCAAACTACGGAATGCTCGCTCAGGACAGCAGATGATGGCACCACTCCGAGCGTGACAAGTTTCTGAAGCGAATTATCCATTCGAGTATGTCAGCTAAGACTCGTAAACCGTAAATGCCCAGCTCTTGCTACGATGGGACTCACGCAGTGCCTTGAAGATTCTCAGAAACGCTTAGTAATAACGGATGCAAAACCAAAACACCGATTGGCTACTCGAGAATTCTTTATTGTAACACCAACATATATCCAACTTTAAAATTCAGCTTTAACTAAGGTCTGTGAACAAATATTACAATAATAAATCACAATATTACTTCTGACAGTTTTGGTCTGACTCCTTTCTGAACAGCGACCGATGAGACGATGACTGGTGTATCGATGTCTCCGCGAAAATATAGGGAAGTTGGTTTTGAGCAAACAACCATGAATTGATCGTTCAATCTTCAACTACATTCACGGAGTACGTCGGAGTGGATTAGTTCAGACCTTTTGTGGTGAAGAGAGGCAGAACCCTATGTAAAAGATATGGCTGTTTATTCATCTGTTTGAAAATGAGAGCTGTGCATATTCAGATGGTTCATACATTAACCACCGATTCATTCGTTCTAGCGTTACTTAGATTTATAAATCGCCGAGGTGCACGGAAGATGATGTTCAGTGACAGATGGACTAATTTTGTTGGCTGTCACGCTGAGCTTAGAGAGTACTTCGAAGGTCCTCAAACGAGAGTTCATGAAGAATACTGTAAAGAAACATCGAGTGGCACTTCAATTCACCACATGTTAGACATAGAGGTGGGCTATGGGAAAGACTTATGGGAATTATCAAGCGTATTTAAAGCACCACAATTAAAAACCACAGTTTGAATGACGTTGGAGACAATTTTATGTGAAGCTGAACGAAGACTGAATGACTGGCCGCTATCACCTTTGGGGGACGACGTCAAAGGTTACGATGTGTTAACACCAAATAAATTATTGTTATTGAGAGGTAACCCTGGCATAGAGGACTTGAGCGCCAAAAGAATACCTACGATTAAAAGATGGAAACAGGTCAGGCACATGAAAGATATATTTTGGAAAAGATGGTTAAGGGAGTATGCTCTAACACTGCAAACCAGAGACAAATGGAAAACGTTGTGCAGAAACTTAAAAGTTGGTGATATAGTCTTAGTAGCAGATAAGTGTGCCAAAGGCAGATATCCTTTGGGCGTGGTAGAAAGGCTATTCTGCAGTGGTGATGGGTTCGTGAAGACGGTTGAGGTGAGAACAAGTTGTGGCAAGTTGGTGCGAGATATTAAGAAACCCTCTCCACTGAAGGCACTAAGGGTCAAGAGTCAGAGGATGAAAAACTTGAAAATTTTCCGACTTAGGGCGTCAACCTGAGAAGAGGTGAAGGCGTACTGCTGTGATTCCTACACATCTTCAAAAGATAGCGCAACAGTGAGTGGCCCAAAGTGCCAAGAATGTTATTCTGTACATATGTTCATGTCGTATACACTGAATTGATACCAACTATCATAAAAATGTCAGTAAAATTGTCCCTGTAAGGAAGCACTGCGTTTCTATCATCAACCTGAGAAGGGTTGAAGGCGTACTGGTGTGAGTCCTGAGATTCTTCAAAGGAATTACATCGAGGCATGATCCGTTTGTACTGTTTGTATATATATGTGGTGTGTTATATCAATCGGTGTTTTTGGATTAGTTGTGTTTACTTGTTGTTTTCGAACTTTGTTGTTATTGCATAGTTTTGTTAAATTTTCGTCGCGCTTACTTCTGAAGTTGTTTCGAGTCTTCCACATCCGTGAATGAATTGAATAATGTTAAAGACGGCAGATGGGTCATATACGCCGGGGAGGCTAGGCTAGTGCTGAGAATGACATGCACATGGAGATGAGGATTAGCTGTGGAATCAATGATTGAGAATGGATCTTCCGATTTAGGCTGTGGTCCCACACGCCGAGGAGCGAGAGTGTAGATGACTGAGGCTTGCATATGTCACCGTTACTAGAACTGAGGCAGAATGAGTGACAAGCGATCGCAGTGGTAATTGGTAGTGAATAGATGAGAAGATGTGTGAAGAGTATCATGAGGTGCTGCTACGGTCACGTTGCGTTCTGCAAGAGTCATTCTAGCAAGTGGCGATTGTGTTACAAGATGTCAAGAGGGTGCCTTTAACTGGAAGGCGTGGGTCGTTATCGATGTGTGAGATTGTGCTGTGGGTATGTCTGTGGTGTGTTGGCCTTGCTGTTTGTTTTCCATTTCAGCTTTGTCAGTGTGACCCAGTTTCTCGCAATGGCATCCAAGTCAACGTGTATTGGTCGTGATGGAAAAAAGGGATGGATCCCTTTTTCGCCGAGCAGTGTCAATGTAGTTGAAGATTGAACGATCAATTTGTGGTTGTTTGCTCAAACCCAACTTCCCC